GGGGGGGGGGGGGGGGCGAACCGGACGGCTGCCGCCTTCTGAGGTGGCATTAAAGTTAATGGGAAGCCCAGGCTGCTCTTTGAAGGGAACGCACGCCGCAAGAACGGAGCGCGATCTTTGAACCGCCAAAGAGGTTTCAGCGAACGTCTGAAGAATGACAATCCGCCATCTTCGCGTGCCTCGGCTGTTCGTAGTTGATGCGAGAGAGACACAGGACGAGGACATCAACCGTCGCGTAGGGGTCTGCCCCCGACCGCCACATGACTGTAACCATTCGACCCCCTGCCCCTCCCTCCCCCCCCCCCCCTAAAAAAAAGTTTTATAGGACACCCATGAAAAGGAGCGTGCTGCTAAAATGTGTAGAATTGTGTTTTTTTTTTTTTTTTGTATATGTATAGACCATACCAATGTTTACAAAAAGTAACAGTTCAGCGTGCCATAAAAACAGTACAGTGACGCGTGCTTGCTACTTTGGCATTCGAGCCAAGCATAGACCGTGCGCATCGACAAAAGAAAGGAGGCAGCTGCCAGACGCCAGACGAGACGATTTTGTGCAATGTTGGCCATTTTCCAATTTTTGTTCCTGATTCTGTTTCACTTAACTGATGTCTCACGAAAGTGAATCAATATGTGTTAAAAGCTCCACACTGCGACGATAGGGAACGAAACCGCATGCTAATTCCATTAGAATTCCCGTCATTTTTACACATAGACGCGCGCACCAAACGGGATGCGAGCGGCTGTAATTACGAATATTATGTACCAACCAGGGTTGACCTAACAGTTGCTGCATTTCTGTCTTATGGTGTCACAAAAGATACGGCATCTCAAGAGAAATGTAAAGCTCTCCTGGGTAATGCTAGTGCGGGCGCGTGACTTGGAAAAAAAAAAAAACAATCCGTGAGCATATGCTCGTTCAAGAAAACATTCTGTGTACACCGATCTCAAAGGCCTGGGCCTTTGAGATCACTGCGCGCAACTTAACCTTACGTACAATTTCTATTCGCCTCGAGATTTGTTCTCGTGTCGTGAAAAGCAGAACTATGCTTTGTTTGACACTTGAGCACTCGCCCCCACCAAATGAGTGGCCAACATGTTCCGGCTTTCCGCTACCCTCACCACTAACTAGTACATTGACACTTGAGCAAAACGAATGCTACGGACGCGAGGCGGAAGCCATGAGAGGCGCAAATGCAGCACTCGCACACTGGACTCAATTGCTAAGAGCTCGTGCTCTGTGCCCTTACTTTGGGTGCTTTGTCTCCACCGGCATTGTGGATCGAGGCAATCACCACGTGCCTCATAGAGAACCATAGATTATGAATAAACTAGAGCACGCTTCCCCTAAATACAATCTGGGTATCAAGGCGAATACTTCATACCTATTCATGCCGAGGAAAAACAAATTCGGCAGTGTCAAAGGTATGTTGCGAAAGGTACATGCTCAGCAGAATGACATCTGACGTAACGTCAGTTCAAGTCATGTATTCCAGAGGACTTCACAGCCGCTGATGAAGGCACAAGCGAAACCTGCCACTCCGAATTAAAAAACAAATAAACACTCAAGCATTTTGAAAAAAAAAAATTAATTGGATTCTACGAAGACGAAGGAAAAAACGAAAACGGGCGTTTATGATACTTCGAAGCTTTATCTTTTGGATTCAGCTGGTAATCTTTCTTCTGAGAGCTGGTCGATGTTGTAGAAATCTATGGGTCCTAAGGGCTTAGACGTTATTGCGCAGAACGGGGCATGGTGTCGTAAAATTGCGTAAATGTTTCTGGAGATTATTTAGAATGAAAGCTTTAATATAGCAGAGATGGGTATAAAATAAAAGATCATTAGTCAGACGAGATAATGTTGAAATAGTGACGTTGTAGTTTATTTTATAGCTGATACGTCTTTGGTGTTTCTCTACAGCACCTTGTTTCTGTTTCCTAAAGCTGAAGAAATAGATCACGTATTATTGCTGGACTATTTTGTTAAACTATTGTTAAAGATACCTCTGCCGAGTTTAGGGGTATTGGAAAGCAACTTAAACATGTAGAATCACACCAAGTTACCATGATTAAAGTTCACGCTTTCACGTAAGGATTTTCACATGTGCCATGACACTTTTTGCTCTTAACATATGGTCAGACATTACGAGTGTCATAGTACATGAAAGGTGAGGAGTCTGGGAACGCATAAAAGAAGCAGAAAGATAATATGCGAAGTCTGCTTGAAACTTGATACGATAGCGGTTACCCGGCATTCTCTCTGCTGCTGCGCTGATATCGCAAGTTCAAAAACAAAGGGCGAGAAGAGAGCGCGAGATAATGGATATCTCACGTGCTGAACCCGAGAGTATGGCTCGTGTACGGGGAACAAGTGCAAACAGAATGCAGTGTCGATCCTTCACAAGGGTTCCGCTTAGCGTCGGTCCTCCTTTCTTGCTTTACAGCTCGAAAGTTTAAGTTGGTTCAGGCGTGCTAAGTGGTACGAATATACCTATATCGAAGGGAAAACAAGCGCAAGCATTTACATTCTGTGTGCCATTGTACAAAGTTGGTTTTCAGACCTTTATACTATTTGAAGTAACACTGAGCTCGCCAACGATCACCTCATGCCGTGACAAACCGCACATATCTTCGATAACCGTCGAACGTGGCAACCATTAAAACGATTAGGAAAGAACTAATAAAAAAAAGCATTAATATAGTTAGTCGTAGACTTTGAGTTTAGATTAACCATTTGCCTATATTCACCTTCCGAAGTCGGCAAAGTTCTTGATACATTTATATACTATTTCATCTCCTCGTCACGCGAAGCGTGAAGCTCACGAGGTCTTTCTTCTAAATACTGGACATGTGCGCTAGGACGTATACTACGCAAATCGTGAATTATGATTATCCCGACTGTGAATCCGATAAATATTCGCTTTAATTTTGGAATTCCGCGTTTTGTAGACAGGGTAGCCTGTACAACTAACGATTGGAAATGGTCCAGAAATATACCATTTTAAATTCGATTGCACTGTCACAATTGACGTCAGTAGACCGTATGGTTGGAACTTGTTAAAAAATTTCCCTGTCGAGTGGTTACATGTACTGGGATTATGCACCAAAAGTTTCCCGCACCCACAAAACTTGCATTCGCTGTGCCCTCGACACAATTAAGTCCCCGACAGAAAGCAGACAGGGTCGGCCGTTCCGCAAATCCGTTCAGCTAACATTTAATCGGTATAGGGTCTTGTTTACTCAGCTAAATTGGTATAGGTATTGTTTACTACAAATTTCATAGTTAATTGGTCATGGGTTCCGGACAAACCGGTTGCAGAGAAAGAAAATAACCTAATTAGTTTCGAACACAAAATATTAAAAAAAACACACACAAAAAAAAACGTAAACTATACTTTACTACCAGCGGAGGATGGTTTACGACTTAGGTCTTTGTAGCGAACACTGATATATAACAAGCTGTATAGGGAACACTGCTATAACGAGCTCATACCTTTATTAGTTTTTTTCCGATGCAGACAAGATCTCAGCTCGGGATTAGCCTGAAAAGCCTCGATCAAGGAGAAAAATAAGAATAAATCGATTGGAGTCCGTTTGTGCGATCGATTTCGAGGACGCTATCTTGCCTCGCGAACCTTCAGTGTTACAGTATTTTTGGTTCGTCCCCTCTTATGTCGTTTTGGTTCCCGCAACGTTTCCCACTATAAGTGATGTGCTTTGATGAACAGCTATGCATAATATAGATGTAATCGCAAAATATCAGGCAGCACCACTGAGCGGCAGCCTGTGGAGGCATAACAGTACTGGTAGTTTCGATCGATCTACCCAACTTTATGATAGCGGTATGTTTGTCTAGTACGATCGGACAAATTAATGGCCTTCTTTATCAACTGAGTGCATATGACTGGAGTTTCATAGCAGACATACCTTTCAGGTACAGCGTAATAGCCTGCGCGAAGAAACAAAAGCAGCACCAGCTCCTTGCCCAATGCTTAGGAAATGACTGAACACCGGTAGATAGTGCTGATGGGTGAAATATGCTGCCTTTCTGGCATTCGTTGAACGATGCTTTACTATATTTAGTGAGCACCTGCTGTACCTTAAAGTACAGCAGGTAATGATACCAGTATAAACATCGTCCAGGGATTCTGAAGTGGAAACTTCTGAACGCCTCAATTTGGCAGCTCGTGCTTTTGCCAAGAAGCCACTCCTTCGAGAATTTTAGAGAAACGTCTGAGGCATCCCGGAGTTTCTTTTAAAAGTGCTTTCCACAAGCACTAGCTACCTTCGTGCCTTCTGTGGGCATAAAGACGGGTCTGGTCATAGCTATGCAGCTATGCATTATAAAACAAACAATTTAGGGGAGGGGGGAGGGGCAACAGGTTTGGTACTTTTATTGTTCAAGTGTATATCGCTGTGTCAGTTTAGTAACCTTGGTGATGAGCGCTAGGTAGCAAAATGTTTTTGCATGCACAAGCACATCTTTCAGTGGAATATAACAAGCTCTTTGTTTACATTCAGTGACTGCGTTCCGTAAACATGATCACAGCCGCTTTCTTAAATATTATATTATCTGATCTACAGCATCCATTTCTCCGTGCTGTTCCTGAACGCAAGGCTCAACAGTATTTTTTTTTTTTCAGATGGCAAACTTTAGCACTATTGACGGTCCAGTATGCGGCCAGACACCACCAGCAAAACAGGCCGAGAAGATGACGCACATATTAAGAAAATAGCTTGCCAGTCGCACAAGTACCATGCGTGTTGGATGTCGCTTCCAGACGATAAAGCAGGCACGTAGCCAGGATTTTGTTTCGGGGGGGGGGGGGGGGGGGGGGGGGCGCCCATGACAAAATGCTGTATGAGGGGGAGGGGGGAGTGGAGGTCCCAGCAAAATGGAAGATTTCGGGGGCAGCCCGGGCCGCATGCCCCCCCCCCCCCCCTCCCCCCCCGGCTACGTGCCTGCTACACGGGCACCGCGAAACTGATAAAAATGCACGTACCTGCCGTTGAAACACCACGGGGCGGTAGAATCATCATATATCCACCTTGTCTTCTAGGAAAAAAAGAAGCGAAAGGACAACCAAATGAGGAGATGGTAACGTTGTGGTCAGTGCAACGTAACACCTCAAGACGTGTGGAGCACGCCCTTGCAGACTAAACCTATGAGTACGGCAGTTGGGTTTCGAATCTGTTTTCAATCTGCTCAGCTACCCATCGCCGTATTCTATCCCGGCAGTTTCTTTTTTTTTTTTTTACTGCCATCGAAATAGTTTTTTACTGTCAGCGTCCATATCCATCATGTGCTTGAGTCATTACTTTCAGAATCACACTATCTGGTTGGTTTTGGAGTGGTGCCTGGCGCGTGCACTTCACCTTCTGCAAAAATGGTGAGCTGGCACATGCCAGGATACCTTATTTGCAAACATTAGAGCCGGCGTAGCACAAGCTACAGAAACGATTTACGGGTTTTCAGCGTCCCTACCGTGCACACGCGCTCGTGCTGTCAAGCATCGTTCAGTGCAACATGTTTTTGCTTCTAGCTTCGGCTTCGCCCGCACATAAAGTAAAACAAACATACTGACTGTAAAGACTTACATTTTTTCAAGTTTTCATAGTTCATAAGATTTTTTATTCTATAATCCAATGACTACGAGAAAAATAGATTAGCTTTGAAAGTCAATTGCTCCGTCCAAAGCTATTCGTACAGTAAGGGCCCTTTCTAAAGAAGAGAGTTTCCGCGTACATCTTTCGATGCATTCGGGAGTAGAGAAGTAGGAAAGACCGGCAATTTGATGTAGGCACAAAGTGGGTATCAAGACAGTCTGCGGAGGAAGACAGCCAAGTTCAGATCTTTTTGTTTTTTGTACTTTGGAGAAAAAATAGGAAGAATAGAAAGACGCGTGTCTTCACATGCCACATTTGCTATTCCATTACTGCGCGTCTACTTTAAAGCGTGCGAAACTCACAAACAGGACGTGCGTAGCAGAGCCTTCCTCCTCTACTCTTTGCCATGGAAAATACTATCCCGTACTTCTAAAATTCTCCACTCCTTCTGCGCGCCCGCTGTCTGCAATACCGATTTCCCGCGATATGGTACCTCCGATCTACCAGGTGTCTAGTATACAATATATGTTCTGACAGCAGACAAACGGAGACTAAATGAACTTAGCTGACAAAAGACCCCATGGCTTTTGAGCGGAAGATATGGAAACTGCTACGTGCGCCGACAACAGTTGGTCTTTAAAACTGACCGCTCATTCACACTGGAAGCGGATCCGCGTTCGCAAAGCGGTTGCGAACGCGGTTGTATAAAGATCCAATACAATTGCACGCGTACTTGATGTCATCGTGTGCGCGTGCAATTGCACTGGACCTTCATACAACCGCGTTCGCAACCGCTTTGCGAACGCGGATCCGCTTCCAGTGTGAACGAGCGGTGAGAGCGAGCGAACGTCGACGCTAACACGTGTTTCCGAGCATGCTAGGTGGGGACAGAATGAATAAACCGCACTGCGTACTTCTCTTGTCGAGAACCATAATTTCGTCCTTGGTGGCGATGATGCTGCTCCCACTGCGGCTCACGGGCACTGTCTGGGTGATCTGGCCACACCAGCTGCAACGATAGAAACCGCCACGTCGTCGCAGGGCCTAAGCGCGCTGATTCTGCTCTGTTCAGGTCAGAGAATGCCTTAAAAATATATCGTCGAGTGCATTAACAGAACGCGCTTTTTCTCCTTATCCTTGCTAACGCAATATTTTCGTTCACAAATATGTGTATATATTGACCTCGAAGTTATCTAATTCAGCGAACCAATATCATAAGAGGATCGTGAGATTGTCGAGTATAAGAAAACTTAGGGCATGTTCTCCGCCAATCAACATATAAACACATTTTTGGAAGAGGAACGTGTCGCGACTTACGGTTCTTCGGCTTCGCTCTGGGTCTTCTTAGTGTTCTCTGAAAAGGAACGAGTCTGAATGTATAAACTGCGCATCTACTATAAAAGCCAAATTTAAAACTATATTTCGCTTATGTACGCATATCTAAAGACATGCAAATATAGCCACTAAACACACATACGTACACTTCAAAACAATAAAGTCAAGCACTGTTCTTATTGCAGTCAAGTACTCTAAAACGCGCCCAACACACGCCCTCAATTATAAAAAAAAATAGTTCCATAGTCAACATATCAAAGCCTCGCCCCGCACTTCATTCAAAGGAACATACCAGCCAATTTTTTGTTGTCGCTGATGTGGTTTTCGTAAGTTATTGGCGATTGCCTAACCAAGGTAATCGCCAAGGCATCCTCAATACCTAACCAAGGTAATCGCCAAGGCGATTACATAACCAAGGTAAACCAAGGCAAGCATTTCGTCAGACATGAACAAAAGAGGCTTCAAATGTTTGTTTGTTTTTTCCACTGCCACATTAAAAACGTAAAGTTTTTTTCCTCCTGGCAACAACACAAGCCTGACACGAGACATCCAGGAAGCTCGATTTACTCGTTTTCCCTGTTCGAGAGGATGTTACGGAATGTGGTACCGAGAGAACCTTCGCTGCCCTAAGTGCATCAATGCCCGCCGACGCCAGAGCAACAACTCATGGACGTTGCCGAGCTCCGGCGTAGTTAAAACGCACGCGTGTGCGACAGCAGGCTCTTACACGCCATGCCTTCATGATCATTTCGGAGATGTCCTCTAGACAAAACAAAATTCACTCGTTTCCTCACGAAATAAAGTTTAAGTTTAGATTTCACCTTCGGGATATAAGCTTCTATTAAACATGCTTCTTTCTTTCTTTCTTTCTTTCTTTTATTGTGCGCCAGGATTTTTGTTTTCACCCCGTCCGTAAAAATACGCACCTTAGAGCTTAGTCTCTTAGTGATTTGTCGGCTGCCAAGTTCAGACTTTATTTCTCTTAAAATAACCACTAAATGTGGATTAATGAAGCTGGACCGACGAAGGCAAAGGCAAAGATGATCGCTGGCTTTACTTTTTTTGTGTGGGCGTTTTATGCGCTCTTTCCTTTAGTTTTAATTACGCGAGAGCCCCATTAAACTTTCACACGGTTCGCGGCTAGAGTAGAGGTCGAGCGCGGCGAAGGCACGGGCACCGAGCTGTCCTCCCAAAGGCGTGAAAATGCGCGTACCTTGCGAGGCGCTGTGCCTCATTCGCCGACGGAACCACATGAGAGCGATGATGGCGGCAGTGAGCAGAGCAAGGAATGCCAGGAGCAGAAGCCAGTGTAGAAGCGAGAAGCCCAGCGTCCAGGTGGGAACTACAACGATACCAGAATAGAAAGGAAATAAACGAAGAGAGAAATGTAAGAAGAGGTTGGTACAAAGGCACTATCGCCGAACGTTCATCATGCTCATTTGTACCATCTTGTATACTAAAAAAAAAAAAAAAAACGAAAACGGCGGCGTTGCCACGGTAACCCGCTTTATTAAACTAAACTGAACCTCTTGGCGAAGATAAGAAAGGCGGCAAACGGCTAAACAGTACAATCCTTTTTTTTTTCTTTTTCTTTTTTTTTTTTTTTTTAAACGCGGCTTGGGAAAGCTGCACGGAGGGTGTAAAACGATCGACCGAGGAAAAAAATAGCGCGATTGTCTTTTTTCATCAGCTTATTTAAGGATTAGTTTTGATTTTATTCTTTCAGGTACGATAAGAAGAAAAGGGAACACGGGGGGGGGGGGGGGGGGGGGGGGAGGTTTAATAGGAATGAGTTATGCAGGACCATTCGAAGCAAAGTTTTATGTTTGAGTATTGGGGAAAACATAAGTGAAAATATTTTTAATGGCAACAATGCTTTAAAAGGTGGGGGATTTTGATACTGCTATATACTGGTTGAGTCCGTAGTTCAAAAAATATTAAAAGAAAGCCAAATGTGTGGCGCTCTGCCGAGCATACAAATATTCAGATAATTCTCGAGGGACTTTAAAACCAAATTTGTCGCGACAGCGATGTGCTGCAATACGTTTATTCTTTCAGTAGATTCCTTGCCTCCTCAACTCTTTTTTCATTTGATTCTGTCTTACACCTACACAGGAAAACAAAACATGTGAGACACGTTATTTGAGTGACCATTACATTTCACAAGCAGTCTGATCCGTAATATATATATATATATATATATGCCTTAAGCTAGAAAACTCCAAATGAGAAGTTACGTTGAGAGTGTAGCGGCAAAAATACACAATGAGATAGCAGCAATACGCGAGACTGCCATTCTCTATCTACGTTGCAACGTATCTCTTAAAACCCCAGTGGAGATGTGTGCACACGCTTTTCAAAGCACGACGCACGAAACATTGAACGAAGACCAGTGATAGCACGCCCCTTTTGCCTTTCCCTAAACCCCTAAAACTCATAAACAACACCGGCCTAATTAATAGTTCACAAAGGTGCTCGTGGTCGTTTCCTAATTGTTTAGATTGATGTGGGTATATTTATAAGCCCACGTGGCTAGAACTGAAATTGCTGACTCCATATCCTGTAATGACAGTGTCATTTGCTTCTTTATATATCATACATATTAAAAATTGGATGCTGAAACCACTATTGTTGGTTGTCTATGAATTGCGATAGCTTTCTTTATGAGACTCTCGACGCAGCTCACTGTGGAACGACAACGCAAATTTTGAGTAAACACGTCATTGTATGAATGGTTTACGACGCGATCATTGACGTCAGCGCGACTGCAGCGCGCTACTTCGAAATTCAGTTATTGCTTGGTCTTCGTGTAATCGTTTAATCTTCCGTCTCCGTACAATCGTTTTATGTTCAAGCTGTTTCCCCACCATCATTGCAGCTTCGTGTCTGTGTGTCTTGTCCTGTCTCTTTATAATCGTTTAATGTTCAAGCTGTTTCACCACCATCACTGACCATGCACCATCTAGCTCAACTCAAAACGATAATTGCTTCGTAGCTTGGGCGTTAATGTAAATGTGCGCGTACTGCCGCTCCGTGTATGCGCGGCGCTAAACGACGTCGAGGATGATGTCCTAGAGGACGTCGTCAAAGACGACCTCTAGGACGACCTCTAGAACGACGTATAGGACGCCCTAAAGAATGACGTCAAAGACGATATCTAGAATGACCTCTAGGGCGATCTCAAGGATGACCTCTAGGATGACCTCAAGAACAATGTCTATGACGACCTCTAGGACGACGTATAGGACGCCCTAAAGAATGACGTCAAAGACGATATCTAGAATGACCTCTAGGGCGATCTCAAGGATGACCTCTAAGATGACCTCAAGAACAATGTCTATGACGACATCGAGGACGACGGCGAGAATGTCATCCTAGAGGCGGGCGTCGTCCACGACGCCTGCGTATGCGGACGTCGTGCGTAGGCCTGCGTATGCGGAGGCGCCGGTCTGCCGCGCGTCGCCTCCGCATACTCGCGGCGCATTGGAGGCCAGGTACCGTATCGCAAAAACCGGGTGAAGTGCCCAAAAGAATGCTATTGCATTAAGAGTAGTTAATATTGACTCTTCCACAATAACTTTTGAGCCGTATGAATGTTTTTGACAGAGATCAGGTGCACAGTGGAGCAGTATCCATGGATGGAACTGTTTCGAGAAACACCGAGTCAGCCGTGCACGGGAACGCGAGGAGAGACAAACTATCTAGGCCGGCGCAACGCGTGCCAGAAAGCGCACCCTCTAACGCACCTTATATTAAATTTCTACGCTCTACGCTTTCGTAAAGAAGGTTCCTTCTAGGAGCCCTCGAGTTCCGAGCCCGTCTGTATACTGCCGCGGCGACACAACTTTCTCCCGCAATTGAAGCGCGAGCTAAAATAACAAACACCAACGTCTACAGCAACGAGCGATTAACAGAGATATCAAAACACGATTGGAAAGAGGAAAAAGAAAGCGCTGCAGCGGCGAAACTCTGGCCGCCGTCATTTCGTTAGCACCCTATCGCTTCGCCAGGGGCGCCAAAGCTAAAACTAAAGCGGCGACGTTGGTGTAATGTCGCCGCCCCTCCGCGCCCGGCGCTCCAAGGTTCGGACCCCGGCGCCGCTCTCTGTCATCCCGCCCCTCGCCGACCCCTGGGCAATTGCTCGTTTGGCGCTTATCAAGAGGGGAAAAGTTCTTGAGCCCCGCGATCGTTCCGAAGATTTACTATCGCTTTAAATGTTGTGGAAATGAAATTTTCTCGACATATTTCGGGAGAAAAACAAAAAAATTGTAACGCGAAGCGTTTTTTTTTGTTTCTTTCCTCCGCTTACTTCAGTGAATGAAGCGTAAGAATAAGAGACGAGAGAGGGCGGCGGAGGGTCACAATAAATTGTAGATTCCGCGGGAACGAAGGAGAAGGAAGCGACGAGAACTGCCCTGGAGAAGCGATGCAGCGGCGATTTTGTGGCATGCCGAGCGGAAGCAGCGTCTACGGAACGTTACAGTAGGGTCTCGCTAAAACTACCAAATTCTTTTTTTTTTTCTTTAAATAACCATCGGCGTTAAATTGGACGTTCGCTCCGTCCTTCCCGGACAAAAACGTATCAGGCGCACGTATGTCAAGTTGATATTTCTCGAAGAAGGGTGTAAAGCTTGAAACGAAGAAAGCAATATATTATTGATCGTTATTATTCTACAGGGTTGACCCCATCTGGCTAACGTTGATTGAAAGAGAAAGAGAGAGAGAGGGGGGAGAGAGAGATAGCACGGACCAGTTTTTATTTTCTAACGCGTTCGGACCACCAATCTTATTAGCTGTCTTCATCGGGACCATCGAAATCCGTTTCATCCTTTAGATTTAGTAAGCCGAGAATGTATTTTGCTTAAGAGTAAGTTAGGAATAAGGATAAAGTTTATTTGATCTTAGTCCTAACCCGTTTAGTTTTGTATAAGGAAAGAAAATGAGTTAAGAGCCGCTAGACGTAACAAGTGCGCACTTAAGGCCCAGAGCATAACCGCCCAGTGTTTGCCTCCGAGCGTCGTCTTCTCTCGATCCTCGCTCTCAGACAAATAGGACTTTCAATCGGCAAACTCCTGCTGCAGAGCTACGAAGTCTTTTTGCGCTGTTCAAATGATTTCATTCAAATCTCAGTGATGCACGTACGGAACTATAACCGCAATTAAACTTGTTCAAAACAAAAACGGTAATAACGAAAAACAAAACCCCCCAGAAAATGCGGGCTTAGAATCGTGACGCGTAATTTTTCTCAGCACGCATTGTACCAAATATATCGATGGTTGTTGCCGATAGGGGATGTTTTTGTGCGAATGAATCCTTAAAATAGCAAAGGACTATTTCTGCTGTACCCCTGTCTTTTCGTACACAATATCTCTATCTTAACATGAGAAGAAACGAACCAGCACTAGCACACGCTTTTCGTTTTTGTTTCGCAAAGAAGTTTTACTCTACATGCTCTATTATATTAGTTTATAAACACATGCATTCAAACCCGGTGTTGATAGACCGTGCTGAAAGAATGGTTGTCTACACTACGGTGTGCCTCTCAGGAAATCCCGCTTTGCTGTTTTCTGAGCCCTTCGGTGCGTTCGAAGCCCTTTTTCAATCAGGATGAAATGGTGCGTGCGCACAACGATAGGCCGAAAATTCCGACTGCGGCGTGCAACGCCTTGACGGTTTATATGTGCATTCGGGCGCCCAAATTTTGGTCTTTAAACGAAAAAAAAAAGGCGAAAGATCATTCCACAGTATTTGTTTTTCTAAGTATATGAGGGTTTGTTCACGCGTGAGTGCGCAGCTGTGTTTGAATAGAGACCGTTTTCTCTATGTAGCCCTTGTTTGTCATCTTCCCGCTGGATTCATTTCGACGTAAAACGGATCGTGAATATCAAGAAAGCGATACCTTTAGGGCGTCTGGCATTGACCAGGAACGTCTGCCATTCCACGGTTGGTTGTCCCTTCAATGGCGGTCTCATTACGATCAGAAACGGAAGTTTATCAGATTTCCGCGCAAAGCTGTTTCTAGGTCGTGAAACTCTGAAAATGCTTATCACTGATGCAGTTAAAGAAAAGTGTTCTTCATCCATCCCTTCGCGGAAATGCACTGTAATCGTCAATAATACTAAAAAAAATATATTTTTTTTAATAGGACCGAAAGAAAATTAGAACTCGTGCCTTTTCACCTCATTAAGGTACACACGCACACACGGGCAGCCAAAAATATCAAGCGACGAACATAAAATATAAAAACCGCGGAGCAGCTCTCGGCTCGCTCCAGGCGAAGCCGCCGCACGCTGCAGCATATCTATCTATACGCCGGTGCGGGAAAGGCCGCCGAGGGCCTCT